AGTTACAATTGCATGTAATTGCTCTTGCTCAAGAAAAATGAGAAATAAATAATAATAATAATAATATAATAATAATAAATAAATAAATAAATAAATAACAACAGCAACAACAATAATAATAATAATAATAATAATTAGATGGAATAATTGATATTTTTAAGACATTTAACCTAAATTTCATTATATTGGTATGCTATAAACTTGATCTATACATTATTACTTTATAATAATAACAAGTTTGATGGAATTTTTAATTTTTTAATAAAAATATATTTATTTATGTATTCACCTTAAATTTTACATAATCATTTGCAGCAAGCTTGTCCTCAACTTAATTCTTATCTATTCCCATAAAAGTCCAACACAAGGAAATACAAGAATAAACTTCTATAACAGAAAATAACATATATAAAATAGAAAGCAATAATTATCTATATCATCATGAACAACTTTTCAACACATAGTAATTTTAACATAAACATAAAGATACAATGTCTCAAATGAGATATACAACTTACGATACAACTATACAACTCAACAACTTCATATTAGATAAGCAACTCGATAAACAACTTAGCAACACAATAAAAAAAAACTCAACATCTTTATGCATCGTCTGACATTTCAGCTTAGGAGATTTTCTACAAGACAGGTAAGTAGTTTAAGTGGCTTAGCCTACTAAACTAACAACACAGAAACACCTTTCTTCTATGGGTCATAACAACACAAGTTTGGCTTAAAAGTCATAATCAATATATAAATGATTTCTCAAATTTTTCCACGTAAACTAAGAAGGTCCAATATTCCTATTAAGAATAAAACATGGGTGTGAGCCAACCACGACATTAGCATGTATCAACCAAGCTTATATGGGATTAGCTAGTCGCCTAACCTCCAAATATTAGTCTCCTTGTAGCACTCGATTAGGGAGTTTGGCCCCTAACTCTGTGCCTTATTTTATTTGTCACTTCTTAACAAGTACGGTTTGACATTACCCCCACATTATATTAGCTAGAAACTAAAGGAAAAAACTTTTACAAACAACTTTCTACTTTAAGAGCCAACTCTCTTGTTAAAGGGATTTCATCATTAGGTTCTTAGAGCAGAACAATTTAGATTCTCATAATGGGATCTTTCAACATTAAATACAACATTTTTTTCCTCTAGTTTAAAAATTTAACTCACATGACATATAACATGGATCATGCATAATCAACTTAGAGAACATAGTACACCTAACCCAACATCATATATACATTGTTCATCATCTTATAAAATTATCTCTTCAACTTTATCCACGTTTCATCTTAAGCAATATAATATAACATCTCTATATTTTAACATTTTTTAACTTGCAACACGTAATAATCAATCAATAACATAATAAACCAAACATCTTAACAAGATTTAACATTAGAAACACATATTAAAAAAAATAAGGCGATGAATCTAATGGAGTAGAACACATTTGGATCCATTCAACAAGCTTTATTGCTCCTCCAATCTTCATCTATAGATTCAAGCTTCAAGATAACCAAACGAAAATAGTGGAGAAGGTATACAAATGGCACGACACCTTCAGGAGAAGGATAAGCAATAGTGAGGAACTTGCCATAAGGAGGAAGTCCTTGATAAAAGTTCGTAAGGAGAAAGTTGTCCAAGGAGAAAACTAGAGCTTTTGAAGAGTAAGGAACTTGCCTTACACTATTGGTCACTTCTTAACAAGTATGGTTCAACATTGCCCCTATACTATATAAACTAAAAACCTAAAGGAATTAACTTTTTAAAATAACATTCCAATTTAAGAGCCAACTCTCTCATTGAAAGGTTTTCATTATTGGGCTCTCAAAGCACCACAATTCAAATCCTCACAATGGGATCTTTCAACACAAAAAACAACTATTTTTCCTCTGGTTCAAAAGTTTAACTCACATCACAAAAATCATATATCATGCATAATCAACTTAGATAACACAGTACACCCCAACTCAACACCATATATACAATATTCATCATCTTATCAAATTATGTCTTCAACTTTATCCACGTTTCATCTTAAACCACATCATATATCATCTTTATATTTTAACATTTTTTAACTTGCAACATGTAGTAATCAATTAATAACATAATAAACAAACATTTCAAAAAGATTGAACATTAGAAACACAAATTTTAAAAAAAATGAGGTTATGAATCTAGTGGAGTAAAAGACATTTAAATCCTCTCAACTTGTTTCATTTCTCCTCCAATCTTCATCTTTAAATTCAAGCTCCAAGATAACCAAACAAAATAATGGATAAGTTATAGGAATGGCGCACCACCTTTAAGAGAAGGATAAGCAAGAGTAAGGAACTTTCCATAAGGATGAAGTCCTTGATAAAAGTTCTTAGGAGAGAGTTCTCTAATAAGAAAACTAGAGCTTTTGAAGAGAAATTGAAAATGAAATTCTCATATATCATAAAAAAATGACGAGTACATGGGGATGTGAATTTATAGAGTTTAATAGCTTGCGGTACAAGTAAAGCTTACCAAGGTTACATGTAACTTAGATCAGGTTATCTTGTACTCAATTCAAATAACTCTAGTTAAAATTTGAATTTGAATGTACCTCATAAAAATGTCACTATCCTATAGCTAAAAGAGCCCCTAATAGGTTGCCACATGGCAAGACACAAAAGGTGTGATGAGAGGTATGTTAGTAGAAGCAAACATGCCAAAAGTGTGACTAGTGTGCGAAACATGTAACTTTGGCTTTGTTTGATCTAATGAGATAATTTGTTGGACTACAAACCCCACCATTTCGTGGTTCAAACAAGCTCAATAAGCACACCTCCAAATACTAGTTATACCTTTTAAAATTACTAAATACACCCCTATAAAGGAAATTTACTAAGAAATAAACTCCTACACTATTTGACCTAAATATACAAAGTCAAAAACAAGAAAATATTTACAAGGAAAATATATACAAAGAAGATGTGGACTAAAAGATTAACCTGTAGCTCAAAAGGAACTTAGGCCTTTTATCTTCAGTCATGTTGAGACTATCACCTTATAACTCTTGCACTTATATGAGCTACTTGAAGATCCACTACCATGTTTCTTTTTATAGTTTTCATTTATCAACTTCTTTTTTTCTCTCACCTTTTGTATTTATTCTTCTAATTGAGCTATGATCGTTTCTCTCTGTATTCTCTCTTTTTCTTTTACTATCATTTCATCTTGTCTCCATAGTTTAAGTAATTTTAGTTCAATCATGATTTTTGAAAGGTTTGATGGTAAACTAGAATCACTTCCACTATGTGAAAGGCAAATACTCATCCCAAGACTTATGGTTGTCTTTTAAAAGTACCATCAACATAGTGGATAAAGATATATTAACTACTTTTATTTTTCCATCAGTTTGTGGGTGATTGGTAGTAGATAATATAAGTTCCATTTGTAGTCTCCCCCTAAGAAATCTCCAGAAGTGACTAAGGTACTTAGCATCTCTATTAGACACAATTGATTTGTATAACTCATGCAACCTAACAACCTCTCTAAAGAAAAGTCTTGAGATATTATTAGTATCATCCAAAATATAAAGTCCAAAATATGCCTAGCTAGATTACAATAGGTTTGATGACAATAATTTTATCATTTTGTTGTTTGTGGATGACATGTTGGTGGAACGTCCCAACAAAGATCAAATTTAGAAAGTGAAGGCATAATTGTCTAGGGAGTTTGATATGAAGGGCTTGGTACCAATAAACAAGATTTTAGGGATGCAAATTCAACAAGATAGAAAAAATAAGAAGATTTGGCTTTCTTAAAAGACTGTAAGACATGTAAGATTATAAGCCAATTTCTACCCCACTTCTTTTTTTATTGTAACTTATCTTCAAGTATGAGTCCTACCAAAGAAGTAGAGAGGATGGAAATGTCTCGAGTACCATGTGCATCAAAGGTGGGAATTGCCTTATGTATGTCACGATTTGTACAATATCTGCAGACATTGCACAAGAAGTGGGAGCAATTAGTAGATTTATAGCAAATCCTGGTAGAGAGTAGTGAAATGTTGTTAAGAGGATCCTCAGATACATCAAAGGAACTTTAGAAGTTGCATATTTTTTTTAGGATTGGAAGACTATGTCTATTCAAACTTTATGGGTGATCTTGATAAGAAAAAGTCTATTACATGTTATGTGTTTATACTTGCTAGAGGGACAGTAAGTGGGTTATCTCTAAGTTACAAATTGTTGTGGTTTTGTCTACTACAAATATTGAATATATGGCAACTAACGAGGCATGCAAGGAAGCAATTTGGATTCAAAAGCTAATGAAGGAACTTAGGCACAAATAGCAAAAGATTACTGTGTATTATGATAGTCAAAGTGTCTTACACTTTGTAAGGAATCCAACCTTTCATTCTAGGACAAAGCACATAGACATACAATACCACTTTACTCGATAAGCAGTAGAGGAAGGAAATGTGGATATGTAATACCTAAAACAACTTCGCAGATGTGATGATAGAGGCGGTCAATGTTGACAAGTTTATAAGGTGTTGATCCACTTGTGGCCTATTGAAAACATAACCAACATGGAATGTTAAAGAATAAAGAGCGGTGTGAAATATGATTAGCTCAATCATAATCTTCATGTGGGAGAATTGTTATGTTAAAAGTCTCACATTGGTGGGTTTACTTTGTGGGGTCCCACACACAAGCTATAAATAAAGCCTTGTGGTCCCTTTTAGAGCATACCAAAATCTTTGTTCCTTTTCCTATATCTTTTTTTTTTTACTTTTTGAGAGTTTTTCTTAGTAGTGATATTCTCTTATTTTATGGAGAGAAGTGTTGTAATTACTTTCATTAGTGGAGTTCCTCTTTTTGCCTATTGTCTTATTTTGTTCTTATTTTCTCTTTTCTTACTGTAGTTAAGTTATTATTTTGTTATTATGGTATCTAACATAAATGCCTTTGACTTTGCCTGATTTCGCCTAACATATTCATCTAATTATATTATGCATGATCTGTAGGGTTTGGAGAAATATATAATGACTAAATTGTTCTCCCGAACATTCTCTTCATCTCTTGAGGATGAAAAGATTGACAATGAAATCTCAGAGAAAATATGCTTACTCCAAACTTTTCTGAAGCCTCAACATTTGGATATACCACCAAGTCTTCATAATGAACCCTCATGGCTGGTATGCCTCAATAGGATGCAATATTAAATTTAATGTTAATCATTTCTCTTTGGCATGCATTTCATTTCCAATAAGTATATTTAAATGTAAGAATTACAGGAAACTGTTTCTTTATTATCAGCTTTGAAGCTTGGAAAAACGTTTATGGGGAATACTTTATTATTTCAGTAGTAGAAGCATAGTAGAGAAGAAAGGACAAAAAATTATCTCATAAGCCATGGGAAACAAACTTACTTCACTTATGGTATATATTTATTGGGTTAAAGATGAACATAAAATGATTCTATTGTTTTCATCTAATAACTTAGCTTATGAAATATTTGTTTCCTCTCTTAATACCCCCTAAATAAGTGATCTAGAGTTTGATCTTGGAACTCCCATACTTATAATAAAAATAATAAAAAAATAGTAGAATAAGTGAGCTTGTGTATTGTTAGTGCCCTTGTGCGAGGAGCATGTTCTATAAAATTATTTGTGTCTTCACTTAATAACATAATGTTCTGGATTAATTGGTTCTTGAGAAATTATTAGCACCATTAAGATATCACATTAGAACAAGACATATGTACAAATGAGTTAGATAAAGGGCATTCAAATTTTTGTATAAATAAGAACCATATATTTATAGGAAGAATTGAAAAAAAAAAATTATGGGTATGATGAATAATATGTTGGCATCATTTTCCTTTTCCATTCAGCTTGCAGAGAAAGAATTGTTGAAAATGAATGCCTTCAAAGCTCCCCATGAGAAAGTCATGTGCATTATGAATTGTTGTAGGGTCATCAACAATTTGTTGCTAAATGCTGCAACGTCTGAGCATGTGCCAACTGGGGCAGATGAGTTTCTCCCTGTGCTCATATATGTCACCATCAAGGCAAGCTCCCTTTGGTAATAATACATTTTACTAATTGTCTAATATACTTTTTGCATAGTGAAACCCTCTTTTGTTTACTGTATAATAAAGAGAATAGATTATGCTTGATTTTTGTTGGACTTCCTACGTTGACTAGTGATATAATCAAAAATTATATGTATCAATTTAGAGCAATACTCACCGTATAAACTAAATTTTTTGAGTTACATTAAGTCAACATTCGAATTCTACGATGATTCTAGTCTTATAAGATCATTTGCTATTAAATCATTATTAAACCACTTAAAGATCCTCAATGAGTTAGCTTTTAGATTGCAAGTAGATCTAACCCCAAATTTTAAGAGTTTGGGGTAATAGTATTTTATTTGTTTGCAAAATCATTTGATTTCAATTTGACTAACTTGTAAGGCCTCATTATGATTTACCTTGGCATCATTGTCATGTTTTGAGTTTATAACTTGTTTTGGTTAAACATTAACTTTTCCATTAATTGATTTTTGTCCTCTAGGGTCCACTTTACACTAGCCTTTGACACTAATTTCTTCCTTTTAATTTTTCACTTTCAGGCAAATCCTCCAAAGTTGCATTCTAACCTCAAATTTATCAAGTTGTATAGAAGGCAAGCAAAACTCATCTCAGAAGCTGAATATTATTTCACAAATCTTGTGTCAGCTAAGTCATTTATAGTTGACTTAAATGCTAAATCTCTTTCAATGGATGAAATCAAATTTGAGGAGAACATGCAAGCAGCCAAATTGACCAATAAAGTCACCAGTGAATCATCTTCTACATGTCAACTGAACCAACAAGAGAAGAACATGTTAGTATAGGTATCATATATTTTGGTCTTGTATTTTGGACCATTTAGGATAGCATTTTAGGCTTTAGGCTTATTGGGCCTAGGTTTGGGCTTCATGGGCCTTTGGGCTTTTGGTACCCAATATTGGGCTCATTTTCATTCTTGTAATTTTTCCTTTCCATTGTAATTGATTGGCCATTGTATTTAGGCCATTAGAATAGGATTATACAAGGATTACTTAAATAGGAAAATTAGACTAAACTAGGTTTAATTTGGAAGTCATTTAAGTTACATTTGAGTCACATGTTTAACACCATGGGTGGCTGAACATGTGCCACTCAAATTAACCCTAAATGAAACTCCAAATTCAACCTAGATGCACCTTAGTACCTAAATTTTCGGCCAAGCACATGGGAGCCTAAATTTGAATTCAAATTTCAAGTTTGAATTCAAATTTTGGGCGCCACATGTAGGCTTTGATTTAGGCGCCCAAAGTATGCATATCCGGAGGCCTACTTAAGTGATTCTTCTACTCTTTGTAATCACTTTTGAACTTCAGAAATTTGAGAGCATTTTATGCCAAGTTTCCTCCAAAAGTCACCGAGAGTTCCAACTTCAAAACCCTAGGAGAATTCACCTTAATCCTACCTTTTGAAGTGAGCTTTCCTTTGCTCCTTAAGCTTGGATGCTTCCATCCATAGCCTAGCAAACCTTAGTTCTGAAAATCTTCCTCCAATCAAGTGTTCTAACATTTGGTTCAAGTCTCTTTGAAGAGGATCCGTGCATAGGTAAAGCTAAGGAGAGGAATACCTACCACTTCTCCTACCTTTGCCATCATGACAAAACTTAATAGATTATAAAATAAAAACACATGATCATCATTTTTCTTATCATGCACAAAATTTTCCAGCCACCCAAACTTAAACAAAAATGGACGGATCCTACAAAGAAGCCTAGGCACCAAGATGATTCACAAGGAGATTTATGGCATGAATCAATGAACAAAACAAGACATATAGACATGAGAATATAGCATGAATATGATCTATCAAGTCCAACTTCAAGACAAGCAAGAAGACACCATGACATGACTGGATTTTTAGAAGATTCAAAATAGGCTAGAGATTACCCTTGAAGAACCATTGGCTCTAGATACCACATGATGACAACCCTCCTTGCATAGATTGAGTTAGGAGCATCAAAGAGGAAAGATCGGACTCCTTGGATCATGGAACTCAAGGTTTCTAGCCTTGGTGATGGAGATGGGAGAATGGTGTTTATGAAGGCTAGGTGTTTGATGAAATGCTAAGGTGGTACTCTAGGGTTTTGGCTCACTTCATTGATGGATGAAGGCCACTCTTAAAAGTGAGAACACTCACGGTGAAGATGAGAAGGATAGTTGGCCGAAATGACCAAGGGGACTAAGGAAATAATATTAAGGCTCAAAGGCTCTTTTAATATCATAAATTCCAAAGTATTTACAAGGTTGCTAGCCTAGGGTATTTATAGAAGGGAAGATGCATTTAAGGTTACATTTGAGAGTGCTTGGCTGAAAAATGCAAGCCAAATGAACTTCAAATGAAACCTAAATTAACCCTGGATGCTACTTGGTGGCCAAGGATGGAATCTTTGGGTTTGGTTAAGCTACATCTAGGTGCATGATAATACCATGCAACCTAGGTGCCCTCCACTTGGGCCTAAACCTTGCCAAGTCCAAAAATAAATCCAAGGCTACCAAAAAACACGTCTAGGCCTTATTTTCTTACCCTAATAAAATACCCTAGTTATAAAATAAAATCCTATAATCTAAGGCACCCCATAATACAATGGTAAAATGGGAAATACAAGTAAAAATAAATCCTATAACTAAGACACCCTAAAATACAAGGTTAAAATAGGAAATACAAGAAAAATAAATCCTATGTCTAAGGTACCCAAAATACAAGAGTAAAATAAGAAATTAAAGACAAGGGTAAAATAGGAATAAATCTTATACTAATAAAAAAAACTTAGGAGCTAAGGCCCAAAAGTAGGACTACTCCTCTTATGGTTTTCAAAACTAACTCATTCCTCTTGCCTCCTTCAATACATCACCTTTTGGTCTTCTTGGCCTTAGTGTGATTCCATCAATATTTTCTTATTAGAATCTTACCAGTTTGTGGTTGGTAGACTCTATAAGCTTTTGAAGGTGTGCTATAGCCAATGAAAATTCCTACTTTTGCCCTTTTGTCTAGCTTATCTTTTTTCACCTTTGGCACATAAGTGAAACAAATACAACGAAAAATATTTGAAGTTTTGAACAAAATTTTTATAGCCATACCATGCTTCATAAGGAGTTTTTACTTGCATAACTTTTGTAGGAAGTCTATTTAATAGAAAAACAACCGTATTTGCAGCTTCAGCCCAAAACATCTTCGGAAGTCCTTTCTCATGCACCATGCTTCTTGCCATCTCCATTATTGTTCTATTCTTCCTCTCACTCACTCCATTTTGTTGTGGAGTGTAATTAGTAGTAAGTTGGTGCTCAATCCCAGCTTTTTCACAGAAAAAATTAAATTGATCTGAAATGTACTCTTTTCCATTATCAGATCATAGAACCTGAATTTTATAGCTAGAGATCCAAGCCTTGAACCTCCAAAAAATTCTTCCATTTAGAGATAATTTAGGTAGAGGTCCTTCAAGGTTTGTGTGAATCAATTGCAGTTTATGTGATGCTCTCCAACTAGTTTGTGGAAATGGTAGCCTGTACTGTTTCCCATATTGGCATGCATTAAAATTATTTAAGTCAGCTTCCAATGATGGAAAGCTTTCCACAATATTGTGCTTTTTCATGTTCAGCAATGCAACATGGTTAAAATGACCCATTCTCTTGTGCCAAAGCTCAGTGACATTAATCGTGCTTGAAACAACAGCTTGCACCTCCCCCATTAAATCTAAAAAGAAGCTTTTTCCCTTCATTTTGACCTTGAACAGATCATGTCCACTTGCATTTTTGATCAAATACACTTTGTCTTCAAATAGAATTTTGTAGCCTTTTTCAAGCAACTTTCCAACACTTAACAAGTTTTGATTAATTCCAGGTACATAAAGTACATCAATGATTATTTTTGTACCCGAACAACTTCCAATTGCAACAGTTCCCTTCCCCTTAATAGCTATGCACTCTCCATTGCCAATTCTGTCTTTTGAAATAATTGTCCTATCCAGCTCCTTGAACAATTCTTCATCACAGGTCATATGATGTGTTCATCCACTGTCAATCAGCCAGCTCTCACAATTGTTATTGGTGGCAAAACAAGTTGCTTATTTCCGACCCGGACAATTTTAGGGGTCTACAAGGACTATAGCTAGGCATAGTTGATGGTGAGAAACAACATTCCTAGTGTCACTTATAGTGTCACCAAAGTTGAAAATGGCTTTATATGGGATAAGATTGGCATTTGAAGAAACATTTCCAAGGAAACCGTAAGCGAATGTTATGCTAAAAGGAATGAGGATTTTCATGATATTGCTCTAAGATAAGGCAAACTAACTTATGTGTGATGTATGCTTAAAAATTGTAATCAAGTTTTTTATATAATGCCACACAAACCAATATCTAGGCACGAAACCCTAGGGCGGCACAATCCTGAACAGTCACATCAAATCCTAAAGTGACACGACTCCCAAAGAAAAACATCATGTGTTAACCATCGACCGAACCCTCGACATGACAACCCATTCGGATAAGAGGAAAACCCCTTCAGTTTTGAAGACAACTGGATAAATTAACATCACCCAACCCAAAAGAACATTGTCATAATCTAACTTTCCAAACCCCTTCGTCTTGCATCCTCGGGCTTGGGGGGCAGTGTACTGGAAAGGCATACGCCTTACCCCTCAAACACCACCAAAATTGGGTACCCCCTTCAACCTTAGCATTAGCCGAAGGGTAACCAAAACAAAGGTGAGCCACCACCAAAACCAAATATGCCCTTTCGGCCTTATCATAGGTCGAGGGAAATTGAAAGAAAGATGACACCATCAGATCCAAACACCCTGACTCGACCTTAATGGAGGCCAAAGGGGTAACCTAAACGAAACAAGCCAAGACACTCCAATGAATGTTAACAAGTACCCGGTCAAGAGCCAAACCGGATACCCTTCTGGTTAAGAGGTCAACCGGAAGGGTACTCGACACCTTAAGAACCGAACAAAAACTATTAGGAGAGGAAATTGAACAGTAATGGCCACGTCAAACCAACATTAAGGTTAAATTAAGGTCTAGAAATCTTAATTACCCATATTCTGAGACAAAAGGCCCACCAGGCCCAAATACATCACTATAAATACACATATGATGGGATAGGAACATGTATGATGATCATTTAATACTGTAGCCTTTATTGCTATGTACCGAATATTATTTGAGTGTCGAAGTGCCTTTGTAGGTACCCTCCCTGAAGTTAGCCGAAAAACACATAGAAGGGGGGGTTGAATATGTGTATGTGTGTACGAAGGAATTTTTCAAATCATTTTCTCAAGAGTAATGTTCTTTGTCCAATGCACTTTTAAATGTCAGACTGTTATGCAAAATTTGTTTAACATAAAGTCAATGCGTCTGAAGGTTTTTATCGTCGGCTAAGGAAGATGTTTTATAATGGTAATTATTGAAGTTCTAACATTTTCCTTTTCAAGATAGTTTCATTTGAAGACAAGTAGAGGATAAAACTTTTCAGTTTAATATGTTTATTAAACAGAATTTGCGTCTTCGTCTAAAAAGGTTTTAATGAAGAATAGACAGTAGACGAAGATTAATTATGATTTGGCAATTGAAAATAATCTAGGTCTGAAGTATAGACAGAGTAGTGCAATCATTTTTATACTGGTTCGCTCAATTGAGCTACGTCTAGTCTCCTTCAATTTGAAGGGTTTCACTTGATATGAAATGAAGTACACAAGTATTATTGACCACTTTTGGCCCGAGTATTCTCGACCACTCCTGGCCCAAGTATTCTCGACCACTCCTAGCCCGTTAGCTTCACTTACCAACGCTAGTATTCTTAACTACTTTTAGTTCAAGTATTCTCGACCACTTCTGGCCCATCGGCTTCACTCATCAACGCTAGTATTCTTAAACCACTTCTGATTCTCCAAGTATTCTCGACCACTCCTGGCTCGTCGGCTTCACTCACCAACACTAGTATTTTCTTATCAGCCACTTCTAGCTTGCAGTGAGTATTCTTTAACAAGCCCCCTCCGGGATTTACAAGTATTCTTTTCCTAGCCTCTTCAGGCTTTACAAATGATAGATGTATAATCAGGTTTGAGTGTTTTGGTTACTCTCACAGAGAGGATACATATAGGATCTACACTCTCTAAGGTTTTCTACCTTAGTCTTACAGAGACTTGTGTTTGAGTGTTTGGGTTACTCTCATGGAGATGATACATAGGTTTACAACACTCACTAAGGTTTAGTCCATTACTGACATTTTGAACAACTTAGTCTACAGAGATAAAAATACAATATTACATTGTACATATGACTATGTATGCTAATCTCTAGTCTCTGTCTTGTGGGCTTGATATCACTCTTTTTCTTCCAATTGAAAAAGCTCCTCTCTTAAGGTTTGAGATAGTGATATATATACATATTCTTGTAGCATCTGCCCGTTAGTTGATTTTGAATATGTCCGTTGACACAGAGCTTCCCGTTGCATATGTCCGTTGAAAGCTGATATAGTCGTTCACGACTAGCTTGATCCTTTCATTTAATGCATTTGGCCTTGCATTAAATGTTGCTTCCTGTTCTTAGAAATTGCGTGTGTTCTTCTCTGTCCTTTTACAGCAGTGTTTGACTTTATCTGAGACCAATAAATTATTTGTCTTTTTCTAGTCATACAACAATATAGCCATTGTCCTTTTTCTGAAAAAGTAATGCACTTTTTCTGACACATGCATGCTCTATTTTTGCGTGCTTCTCTTCTTCTTTGTTTCTTCATTTAGATCACACATTTTATATATTGAAGTCTTTGGTGTGTCTATAGATGATATCTCGGCTTGTTTCTTAAGACATGATTCTTTATGGCAGTCTTCATCTTCGTCTGTTGGTCCTACGTATGTCAATCTTGACTTTTTCTTCTCCGTCTAAGCTTAGTACTTTGACTTTTCTTTGATCTGATTAACAATGTGAATAGACAAAACTTTGTTCCCATTTAGAGCGTCTCTCAATCTATATTGTCTTTCGTCTGATGCATAGTTAGCTTTCTTTTTGACCTTAAACATATGCCTTGTCCAATTTGCGCTTTAGAGAAATTGCACTTGATACAACTTTGTCTAAATATTTAGACTTTTATGATCATCTGGCGCACATTCGTGTTCCATCCATTTATCTATTGACGCCCAATTTCCTCTATCATTTGCTTCATCTGCTATTTTCCTCGACTTGTCTGGTTCTTATGACGTGCCTTGCCTCGATTACTCTTCATCTGAAAGTTACATGAGCTTTGTCTGATGTTTAACCTTCTTTTGTCTTGTGCTTGAGTTAGTCTACTTTGGCTTTTCATCTGATGCTTCAATCCTGTGTTTGTTGAATGTTCTTCCGTCCGTGTTCCATCGTAATTTTGATGTTTGACTGGCCATCATCTGAATCTTGTTTATTTTGTGCAGGCTTTGTGGATTCTTGTATTTAATGCCTTTGATCTTGCATTAAATGTTTACTTGTTGAATCTGCATTCTACGAGGTCTTTGGTACCATTTGATTGCTTCTATATTTGGTATTAGGATATCTCTGTACTTTCCTGATACAGAGGTGTTATCCTTTGCTGACTGGTAGGTGTACTAGCTCTGACACACGCAATTTTGATTTGTGGATATGTGCTAGTCTATTTTTCTTTTCTTTCTCCTTACACTTTGATGACTTCATATGTTTTTCTGAGAGTGTGGATGTTAGGTAGTTTGTTGTATTGTGTTTTTTAGACACGGTCCAACATTCCTGATCTTCGTCTGTGTGTTCGAGTCTCCGTATGGTCGGCTGCATAAGCTTTTCAACTCCGTCTAGGATGTTTTGTCCTTGCCCATGATCTGATGTCTTGTTAGCTTTTGTCCTTCGTGTAGGTGTCTTCGTCTGATGTATTCCCTTAGTTTGCTCAGCCTTTATCTAATGCTTGACTCATATCTCTTGATTCTGGTATAGATGCATATTTTATATTCTTCAGCTTACCTGTACTTATATCTGAAATACTAACACCCTTGTTAGTAATAACAACATGTATTATATTTGTCTCATTCAAAACCTTTGCCGGGAATTGCTTTTGTCTTCGTCTGACTTAACACTCCCCACCACTTGGAGCAAGAGCTTGGTCAGTACATCGGACCTTGAAGACCAGTCATCATGAAGAATAGTTAGAGTCTTTCTAACAGGAACACTTCTAATTTTGTCACTCCAACATCTCTCCTACATCCCAATATCATCCAACGATCAAATTCAAATCCATATTTACTCACCCCACCTAACCCCATATACCTCAACAAGACACCACCCACTTTCGTGTCAGATGCCACTTCCAAAGATTCTCCATTAATAGTTCATCCTACACCAATTTACAATCTTCACCATCCTAAAGAAGCACAATCTGAGTGCTTAAGGCTCATTTTTTTGACATTGTGGAGAAGACCTATTTTCTTCCCCCAAACAATGATAGTAACGTAATTGAGGCCCAACCTTATTCTAATGAAAGGCCCAAGAGACAACAATTAGCCCCAACATGGGTCAATGAATACTGTTAGTTTAAGGGCGTTTATTTTTCCTTTTCTACTGGACCCTCCACGTGGATGGAGTGAATTCTACAGTTGTTTTATTTCTGTTAGTGTTTTGCTTCAAAGAAACTTTCTGTAGCTCATTCAAATATGAAGAATTATGAATGAGGTTTTCTTTTCCTTCTCATTTTTTATGTTAGTTATTTCAATTTAACTGTTAGAGTCTATAAGATCTAATCCATTAGTATAATTTAATGGCTAATTTTTCGTTAACCGGACACTCCAATTGTTTGACACGGGAGGGGATTCATATTCGTTTTTAGAGGGTTTTTTTATGAGAAAGTTTGTAATTTTTCTTTAACTTTTTATGCTTATTTAAAAATAAATTATTAATGAATAAAAGTAATTTTATACTATAATATAAATTATTTATCATAAATTTAAAATATAATTTATATATTTAAAATATTTATTTACACAAAATTTATATATTTAAATATAATATTTATTTATACATATAATTTATTATAAATTTAATTATACATAATAAATATGCATGTAAAAAAAAAGTTATTAGTAAGAGTAAGATAAGATAAATATTCTTACCACAATATTATGAGGAAATGTAGAAAATAGTTGCTCCCTCAATATTTGTTTGCAAAATTTCCTCTTTTTGTGGGTCGCAAAAAAGCCCAAGTTCGGGGCCCGGGTCGGATGATTTGGTTGTAGCGCGTTGCTGTGGTTAATACATTTAAGCAGGAGCAGAGCAGGTGCAGGTTTTGTATGCATCATTCAACGAGCTCAACGATGTGGAGCTTTTTGAGCAGAAGAAGCGGTGCGGAGATTTTCCGTCTCAATAAACGCATTCCTCTGCCCCTCACTATCCCTATCCGAACCTTCTCCACTCCCACCGGTCTCTATGGCTTTCCCCATTTGAAAACCGCAAAAGGTTTTCAACCATTCGCTGATGAAGCCATTCAAAGGTATCGTATCGTATTAGTATTCCACACACGATTACTTCTACTGCAACCAATAACAATGCCATGGTTGATAGGTCTGCAGAACTCGTTAGTTTCATTCGTACGCATGCTGAAATAATGCGAGCAATGGATGAGATTTCTGACACTGTAAGTCCTTTTAATCACAACCATTCTTTATTTTACTCTTTCACTCTCAAAATCACTCGTTTCATCTCTCAGGTCTGCTCTGTTGTTGACTCTGCTGAATTGTGTAGGAACACCCACCCTGACAGGTTCTATTCTTCTTACGATTATTTTTTAAAAGAATTATTGCAAGTCAACTTGGGGACAGGGATTAAAGAAAATATACCAGAAGAGATGGTTAAGAACGAGTAGTTTGAGGTGATTAAGAGAGAAATTTTGGCCAAATTGAAGGGTTTGGTGTAGAGATGACAAAGGTAGGGGTGTGTAGTAACTTCTTGTCACAAGCTTATTCATGTAACATGTATTGATGATATTATATATAGGCTTAAATATGTTTTTAGTCCCTCAAATTTAGATTAGGATAAATCTGTTTTTGGTCTCTCAAATTTAAAATTGTTGTTTTTAGTCTCTGTAATTTCAAAAAATCTTATTTTAGTCATTATATTCAAATTTTGTTAAGAAATTTATTAAATATTATTGCATAAAATCTATCTATTGGTATTTTTATTAGTGAAAATATCACATTAAATTTGATTAATACTGTATAACTGTCTTAATTAGTCACTTTTAAATATGTTATTAGTGATCTAAGGGACTAAAACAAGATTTTTAAAAATTACAGGGACTAAAAACAATAATTTTAAATTTGAAGGACTAAAAACAAATTTGTCTTAAATTTGAGGGATTAAAAACATATTTAAGCCTTATATATATATATGTATATATATATGTATATATATATGTGCTCGTATTCATAGGTTTCTGTATGTATTTGTAAAATATTTTTTTTTATTCATCGGAATTACAAAGCCAGTACCTGACTATACCTCAAGCCCCCACCACCACTAGAGATATTTGTTAAAATGTTAAATTTAAAATAAAAAGATGAGAAATAAAATAAAACTAAAAACAAATAATTTTAAAACATATATTTATATTAAAAAAAATAATTTTGTAGCATATTTTTGTACTAAAAATAAATAATCACGACACATATATTGATGGTAAAAATAAGCTAAACCAAATTACTTTATATGTATAATTAAAAATATTTTAATATTAAAGTGAGAGTATGTGTATCATACTATTTTTGTCCATCCCATTACTAAGCAGTATTCATTTACAATGTTTTATTAGTACTGGTACAATTTTTTTTCCCATCCATGAGAGAATATTGATAATCCGTAATCCAGAAAACGAGAGTTCTACTCTCCGGTAGATTATTATTATTATTATCTGTAGTAGTTGTAATTGGTTTATTTTTTTAAGTAATTCTCCTTCTTGTCATTTGTGTGGTAAGTGACTGATGAAATCTTTAGCTATTAGTTCTTATGCTTCTCACGTAAGTTGAGGTTGTTATGTTTGTGTGTTTTTTTTTTTTTTTTGGTTAATCAGGGAGTTTGTTGAGGAGGCAAACGAGGCATCAATGAGAATTAATGAATATCTACATGTGAGGTTACTGGGATGCTTGCTTTTCTTTATGTTTATTGTTAATTCATGTAACGAAAACAAAGCCTAATAAAAAGAAAAGATCACGTGCTGTTGTTTTGTTGTGTTAAGTGCTAAAATTTTAGGTGTGTTCATGGACACGATTGCATATGCTCCTTACATGTTCGCACATGTTATACTAATAATAATTCTAATAATCTAATAATCCAATTAAATAAGGAAATAATAATGAAATATGGAAACCACTTCTAAGATACTCAAACATTATAAGAAAATAATGATATTTTATAAGATGAGAAGTGATAGCAACATATTTTCTTATATACTTTTCACAATTGGTTAAAATATATTAAAAACTACAAATTATTAATGAGACTTGTTAAATAAGAAGGAAGACCCATAAAATTGTGTGCTCAAAAGAAAATGCTAAGCATTTCTTGAACTTTTTAGTCCCACAATTGTGAAGGAAAAGACCATTTTTTAATTTTTCTATGTTGTTGTCTTTAGACATAAAGTAGTAGCATGGTCAAGTACACTAACAACAGTATTTCCTTTGGTATCAGGATTCAGGAAATCTATGTTACTTTTTTAATTTATCTAATATTGTCTATATAGTTGTGGAAAAGAAAATTTCTTTCAATACAGGAAGGAAATATGATTTCTAGAGCATTGGGTTAGGTTGTTGGATGGATTACTGTGCGAATCAATGTGGATCAAACGCTTGTTTAATGTAAGGCAAAATTTAAGTGGTAGCATGGCATTAAGGGCAAAATTATTCTTGGTTGGAATGCTGAAGTTACACAGTAGTTATGTCTAACCTCAAGACCTGAAGAAGCACTATAAATATAAATTGAAGATAAGTAAATTTAAATTTTTAATCAAGACAGAGATGAGTGTAGACTTCACGTTTAGCTACCATTTGACATTACACAACTTAGAAGTAATAACATTTGATTAAACTTGCAAACCAATCGTGATTTGAAAAGAACACAGGGTTAAACTTAACATTTTAAAATCTGGACTTTCACTGTGGTTCTATAAATAAGATGCAGAAAACATATAATTTATTAACACGTGATAAAACTGAATTGACACAGTTCTAAACCCAATACCTACACTTAGTATTTTCTCTTTATTCTGTACAGCATCTGAACACAAATCATGATCTATATGTTGCGGTGAAGAAAGCTGAGCAAGAATGCCATATGCTTTCTGAGGAAGGTCAAAGGGGACTTAGAAATTTACGTGTTGACTTTGAAAGGGGTGGAATTCATCTTTTCCCTGGTAATTATATTACTCATGCTTCCATGTTATATTCTCAAAAAAGTTCTATGGAACTTTTTCTCTTTAAAATAAATGTTTCTTATGGGATGCACTTTGTTTGCAGAGAAACTAGATCGAATGAACACGCTAAATATTGAAATTTCTCACCTATGCAGAGAGTATGTTTATAACTGATATTTATGCATTGGTTGCAGTGACACTTTTGCTTGCTATGAGAAATGATGTTTTTTAGTGGAAGCAGTCTGCTCCCCAAGCATAAGTTTATATTTCTACTGTGTTTTCCCCTTTTTTTGTATTTGTTGTTACACAGGTACCAACATAAAGAGAGCTGGTTCTTAAATCCTAAATAGTAAATGACAAAGCCATCACAACATTGAAAATTTTGTTCTCCAAAACTTTAATATCACGAAGTTGCACTGACAAATTTGCTAGACATTGAAATTACTCAACTATGTTTAGAGTAATTGTATGACTAATAAGCACTGCAGTGGTGCAGCCATGAAGCCTTTTCAAGCTGTGGATTGCGGGTTTGCTTGGCTTCATGGATTAGTTGGTGTTATTTGGTTATATTTACTGTTTAGTTAAAGCGTTAAGAACAAGGCCTTTTCATTGGTTCCTCACTTCCTGCTAATGTCTCTTAGGTCTTTCTCTACCCCTTTTGATTGGAAAATTTCCATTTGATAATCTTTGCTTAGTAGAGCCTTTATTGTTCTTCCTGTCATCTGACCAAACCACCATAAATGTGTTTCCTTTATCTTTACAATGGATTAGATGCTACTCTTTCGCCTTGTAACTTTCATTTTTAATGTAACTTATATTTTCTTTGTGCTTGTGTACTCATCCATCCTTATGCTCTCATCTTCAGCACACTTATCATTTTGCTATAGTAGGAACTTATATTTTGTTTACAATGGATTTCAAGTTTTCTAAAATAATTTTCCCAAAGTGGGTCACAAATATCTTGTGCCATAGCACAAAACACAGCTTCAACACTAGACTGAGCCACAACTTTTTGATGTTTACTTCTCCAAGTTACTAAATTTCCTCTTAGAAAGGTAGAATATCCAGAAGTGAATCTACTATCAGTAACTCAAGAAATGTTCCCATTTGTTTTAAATAAAATTCGTCTTCCTGGAGTTCTTTCAGGGCATAAATTGACTTACAAAAATTACAATAAATGTAATATCTGGCCTAGTGTAAGACAAATAGATTAATTTTCCAACCAAATGCTAATACATCTTATCCACCACTTCACTATCATCTGCATTACCCCATTTAATGTATGAATCAATGAGACTAACTACAAGTTTACAAGCTGCCTTACATGTCTCCTTGAGTAAATCTGTGACATATTTTTGCTGATATATGAAAATGCCTTTCTTGGAATGTTGACTAAATACTTGTTGCTTCCAATCATCACTAGTAATGATAATATCATCCACATACAATATTGGCACATGCCTTGAAATTGAGTATTTCATTTTTTTATGGTCTCTTTCACTTTGTTTGTATCCTAAGGCTAACATGACCTTGGTAAATCTATCAAACCATGTCTGGGTGGATTGTTTTAATCATACAAAGCCTTTTTCAACCTGTAAACAGAAATGGCAGCAACTTCATATCCTGGGGGGACCTCAAATAGATTTCTTCCCTAAGCTCCCCATCAAAAGAACCATTTTTAACATCAAATTCATAGCCATAATTTGCAGCAAGAAACAATATTACCCAAATTTATTCATCTTTACAATTGGAGCAAAGATCTCTGAGTAATCTATCCTATAGGTTTGAGTGAAACCCTTAACAACCACCCTTTTGCTCCTCATATTCTATTTTGGCCATATCACTAATTGATGTGAGATCTTTTGTGCACCTTTATGCCTAGGATTTGACCTTGAGTATGAAGTTTGTAAGATTAGACATCTATTGGTGGTTCGATAATAGCTTGACAACGGGTGGCTTGATATGCACATCAACACTCACTAAAGTAGATTCTGATACTGTCATAAACTATTGAGCTTGGTGCCTTTTAAATGGTGGGTGTCCCTTATGATGATATCAAGATAACTTTGATACCATCATAGAAAATCGTTTGGGCCTAACTCAATTCTATAAAATTGGATTGTAAGGTAAAGACTGCTCCCCCACTTATATACTTTATTTTGACCTTATTAGTTGATATGAGATCTTCAACACACTTTCTCATACTGAGGATTAGACATCTTGAGCGTGAAGTTTGTAGAACTAGACATACAAGGGTGGTTTGCTAACAGGTGATCTGATAAGCCCATCAACACTTGCAAGGATACGCTCTGAAACTATATTAAAAAGAGAGAAACAAATATTTTCTGAATTTGCTTGGGTGATATCTCCACCCAACAAAATGGATTTAATTTATATACTAGAGAATTACATATTAATGCCAAAATAATTTACAAGAGAACAATCAAGATACCACTACTTCCTATTGATATTTAATCTAGTTATACAAAGTATCCAAGCAACTTGGAATAATAAACATTAAAGGAGTTCCTATCTCCTATTCTTATTTCCAAGTTCCAACACTAAATTTAAAAAATTGTCGTATCATTTTATCTATGTCATACTAAGTATTCAGGCTTCATGGATTGCAATGACCTTGTCCCTTGAACCAAAGCTGGACAGTGGCAGCTCAGATGACATAATTCGCAGATATGGTGTGTTTGTCACAGGGAATAGGATATGACAGTGAAACTAATGGCTGTAGCAAACTTGCAATTGGATCAGACCTGGTAGACAGTAGCGGATGTCATGCTGTTCTTAGGCCGGGGTAAGTATATGGCTGAAGTTGTAGGAGGATAGGGAGGTTATTGGAAGAGGCTCTGGCGAGGGGTATCAATGTAAGGGTGCTCACATGCTGGGAAGTGGCAGGTGCATGAGGTGAACATGCAGAGATGAATGATGTGCATGGAGACCTCGTTAGCAGTGAGGACTGGAGATCTGTTGGTTTATTTTATCTATAGGATGGTGAGGGCACAGCAGCGAAAAGGGGTGTGGGTGGTTGCCATAAATGTGAGATCCAGGGCCATCTGTGGCACCTAAGCTGTGGAAAAAAGGGGTTAAGGTTGGCTAGATCAAACCCTGAGCTATTGTACAATGATACCCTAAATTCCTAATAAATGCTAATTATAATCAAATCATAAATAGTCACATGTGCAAAAACTAATGTGTACGTGTCACATGCTATATTTTACTGATAACAAGGTAAATCAAATTAGATTGAGCAACTCTAGAACAGACAGTGGCTGTTATGAATATCCAGTTCATAATTCACATGCTGTAGAGATTTAAAGATCTGTATCATAGTTATTATGCCCTTCCTATCCTTGCGTTTGTGGTCATTTTGACTTGTATGTACTCTGCCAATATTTTTTATTCCTAGAGGGAGAACTTTGTGGCATAATTGCTATAAATTGTATATGACTGGAGTTAATCGTGCTCGTGAAATGGTTTCATTTGTAATGTCGATTCAGTCTTTGCTTCACTACTTATTCTATCTCAAAGTTGACTGTTGCATGTTTGAATTAGGCCTACTTTTGCTGTGGTCTTGATCACTTTGTAATTTCTTGGTTTGGTTAGGTACTGTGAAAATATTGTCATGGACCCAGGAGCTGTTGATATATATCCATCATCTCGCATCCCCAAGAATTTGCATTATCTTGTAAAGCCTATCTATCGTTCAGAATCTTTAATAACCAAGGGTTTATCGGGGTCCAGGGACACCGTTAAAGAGAGAGGATTTCGGATTACGACAGATCCACAAACTCTTAGTTCTCTACTACAATTTTCATCAGATGATGAGGTAGTTTCTATTCAATGATTTCGAAGTTTACCCTGACATATTTATGTTATTAGTAAGGATTACCCTTAAGTCCTATTAAGGACTGTGCAGTAAGTTCATGTGACCTGAAAAAGCATTTGCGATCATGTCTAACATTCTAAGCAATCTATTATTCTGACTCTAGAGTACTAATGAATTTTGCTGGCACTCAAATGATCCAAAGTAAGGAACTTGTAGTTTTTCTTGCCTCCCATTTTGAAAAATTAATTTTATGCTCTTCTAATAGAAACCTGGTATTTTGTTAGAAGAATTAGGGAGAAAACCCAATTACAAAGAATATTGCTGAACTTATGGGGTCTGCACCTTTCAAAGAGTATCTGTCATCTCCTCTACCCAAAAGAAATAGGGATAAAACCCAATTACAAAGAATATTGCAACATGCTAATTTCTTCAATCAGCTAACCTAAATAACCAATTGATTTAATTAACTAATGAGTATCTGTCATCTCCTCTCTCTGTATTTTAAGGTTAGGAAAATGGTATATATTCAAGGAAATTCTGTGCCACATGCAAATGTTGATGTCCTCAGGAGGCTTATATCTGCCCGACATGAATTAGCTCAGGTCTGTATCATCTTGAGGCACTCTAATTCTTTTTGAGCCCTTTGTTAGGGGCCATAACATAGATGCATTCTCTCGTTCTATATTACTGTCTGATGCACATGATTTCTAGATCCCTATCATGCATTTGTATAATGGATATGAGTGTATATGACTATAACTTGGGGCACACATTTGATACTTTCATTTCTTTTTCCCTTTTGGATAGAAAAATAATTTTGTTCAGGAAGAAGAGAAACATAAGTGCCATAACTTTAGTGCCTTCTATTATATTTTATATTGCTCTTTGGTGCACATGATTTCTAGATCCCTATGCATTTGTATAATATGAGTATATGATTATAACTTGGGGATCACATTTGATTCTTTCATTTCTTTTCTCCTTTTTGGATAGAGAAAGAATTTTATTCAGGAAGAGAAATGTTTGTAGAAAGAGGATAAGAAATAATTTCAAAAAAAGAAAACAGGAAAGAACTTTAACATAAGAGATTGAAATTTGGAATATGTAACAAAGCATGCCAATCTCCCTGCTTGTCTGAAAAAGAAACTGCTCTGGATACACCAGGAGCTGAACACCAAAGAGTGGCCAAAAAAATAACTGTCGCTGAAGTTTATAGTCGAAGAAATTTACTTGAAAGCATTTCTCTTCAGTAATATAACGTGAGGCAATATTCAGTTTTCTTTCAATCAATCTGACATTGAGTGAAAATGATGCAAATCAATAGGACAAACCCAATATTCTCCCAAAGTCCCAAATAGCTTATTAAAAAGAAAAGTAGATGCCAGACAGTGCAAAATGTGACATGCCCTGGTTTTCAAACTATAACAGCAGATAATGGTTGTATTGAGAGACAAAGAAGTGAGAGGTCTGTGCTAATCCTGTTATGGACCACTGTTCAAAATTCAAATAAATGATCGGACTCCTGGTGTATCATTGGATTTTTAAATGGTGTTCAAACTTCAAAAGAAACATATCTCTATTAGGAGAATGTGTAAGGATCTGAATGTAGAATTTACTAGTAAATACACCTAAAGAGTCAAGCCCTCAAATTCTTTTATAAGTATTAGAAGAAAAGTGAACAGATACTAGTAAAAGAGAACAAGACTGTAACCCCTAAACTAGTGTAATATTTTGTTTTATGAATTATACTGGAAAAGAAAATTCAGAACTGTATATTAATTTCTGATAATGAGCACAAGTTGGTTACATGATTATATATGGGGAACTAATCCTAATATTTAAAGGCTATAATCTTGCTTTCATAATTACAGAAAACTAATCTGCACAAGTAAAATCTAAAATAATGAAATCAGCAAAGAATATCATGTGCTCCAAAAATTATGGATAAAGTTTGAATTCTTTCAGACCAAAATTTTATTTTCAAAGAAAAACTGCATAAGATGTTATGTTATTCATATTTACCTTGCTTGATAATTTTGGTAAGTATATTTACTAACAGCTGATTGTTTTATTTTGACTTCATAACACAATGATTTTACCAACTGATTATTTGATCCAGATAATGGGGTGTAGATCTTATGCTGAATTTTCTGTAAAGCCTAACATGGCTTCATCACCAAAAGTTGTAATGTCATTTCTACTCGAAATGAACAAGATGGTCCAGGCTAAGATTATAGAGGTATATATTCATTTAAGTCATACATTCTAGGGCATGACGGTTTCATACTATAGTGGCCTGTGCTTGTAACTGAAGCAAGGATTTTCTCTTTTACTTATGATCTCAGGAGCATAAGATACTTATGAACTTCAAGAGAGAGAATTGTGGTCACAGTGATGGAAATTTAAGGCCATGGGATGAGGCCTATTACATGACAACGATGAAGTCCTCTGCATATAAATTGGATTCTTCGGTAATTATAGTATAGTTGCATGTTTTGTTTGTTATTGATACATACCCATGTTTGTCTTTTTCACGTTAATGTAAAAATCATGTATGCAGATTGTAGGTTCATATTTTTCTCTCTCAAACTGTATTGAGGGTTTGAAGGTGCTGGTGCAGTCATTGTTTGGTGCAACCTTTCACAGCATCCCTTTAGCACCTGGTGAATCTTGGGATCCGCAAGTGCTTAAACTGTCTCTTCATCATCCTGATGAGGTATCTGGTGTGGAAACTTTGTCTGAAAATAAATTTGGATCCATTGGATTACACTCAAATGGTGTGAAGAATTTTTTTTAACTATGAAAATTTTATTTCTTAACTTTTTTATGCAACTTATACCTTTGAATATTGATTTTTGGTCCAAATTTCAGTAAATTTTATTAATAAGCTCTCTTTAAGGAAAAGTCAAATAAACTTGTATGTTGATCCACCAGCACATTCTCTACCCTTTGTTTGAAAAAGAATGTCATCCCTACAAACCAATGTCATTGCCGTTTTTCACTTATACTATGTTGGAGAATATATCTAATGTTTACATACACAATCAGACATAACAAAAAAGTCAATTGTGTCATCAGAATTGTTACTACAGAAGAGTATGTTAAGTATATTGCAACAAACATAGCATCTACCCTACGTTCTATTTCTCAGATGAAAATGTATATATACGAGAAATTCATTTGGAGTTCATTCAGTGAAATGAATTACATAAATTACAGAGACACTATGATTCTCTCTTTAAATTAGTTGATAAAAGAAAACTGTATATTAATTGTATCATTGTATGTTTTATACATTCACAAATCTCCCGTTTTATAGGGTAAATGACTGCTTAAAAAAGAAAATAACAATAATTAGGAAATAGATAACAAATATCTAAAGATATTCTGGACTTCCTAAATATCTATGATATTTACAACACTCCCCTTCAAGTTGGTAAGTGAGTATCATTCATTCCCAACTTGCCAATAAGATTTTGGAATCACTAGGAAGTCCCTTTGTGAAAACTGAAAACCTTTGCTACTTGAAGCCTCGTAGGTATATGAATTAACTTCTCTTTGATGAATTGTCTATCAATCTCTGTGTTTCACTTTGTCATGCATGATGGGTTATGAGCTGATACCCAAATACTTAGTACGACATGTGTATGAAATGACAATTTTTTTTGAAATTTATGATACAATTTGTTCTAGATATGCTAATAAAAATTGATAGAAAAGTTTATATAGATATAAAATATTGGTAAAGAAAGTCATCAATGATTTCACATATATCCTCATATTATTGATGCACTGAGCAAAGGTATATAAAGGAGAGATACAAGGGGTGTAGATGATGTAATAGTCTAATAGAACACTTAACAGAAAGTAACAAACTAACTAAACAGATACAATAAAACAATGCTCACGGTAGGAGCCTGCACAACCACTCACAGACACGTTTATTATACTCTAATATACCCCCTCAAGTTGGAGGTGACTGCAGCATCATTAAAAAGATTCCTGTAGCTTGTCTCTTCGAAACTGAAAATGAGTGAGAGAGAGAGCTTTTGTCAATATATCAACACATTGTTCTTCAGAGGCAATATGTAAAACCTTCAAGCTTTTGTTGATAGCCTTTTCTCCGAGAAAGAAGATATCTGTTTCCATATGCTTTGTTCAAACATGAAAAATAGGTTTATAAGATAGAGCCACATTTAGATAGTAGGAGATTATACTTGCACTTTGAGTTTTGTTGACAAGGTTTGAACCCATGGAACTTCAGCTGCTATGGCAGCAAAACTACAATATTCAGCTTCAGTGCTGGACTGAGCTACAGCGGTTTGTTTTTGGGACCACCAAGATATGAGATTAGGACAAAAAAAGATGCAAGATCCAGATGTAGTAGGCTATTTATGAGTGAGACCATATGAGTGAGAGCTAGAGTAAAATAGCTTACAACATAATAACAAAGAAGAACTGTATTATTTACAACACATTTATTTCAATATTGTTACATGTCTTATGTTGCAAGAAGTACAACTACCCCACAATTAAAATTGTCTTTCTCAAGGCAAAGTCTTGAAAGACACAATGAGAATGAAAAAATGTCATTTAATAGAAATGAGATTCTTAGTTAATTTAGGGAAATTAAGAACATTGTGTAGGGGTAGAGATGATTCGAGTGGATGCTGCCAGATCTAACAATGTAAACATGGTCTCCATTAGTAACTAAGTAAGTTGCTTGCTAGGTGCTCTAGTATATGTTGTAAAGTGGGTAGGGAAAAAAGGAAGGGAGGTATATTGCCCCAAAATCAAGAACCCATATGCTTAAGGAAAAAACCAAAATATTAAAGTAACTCTTACCCTTCATGGTTAAGACACGTGAAGGTGATCTAAAGGATTTAATCATGGAATCATGTTGGGTTCGAAGACGGTCTACCTCCTACTTATTAAGGTTAAAATATCCTGTCATTATTTAGTACTGATAAATATTAAATAGTGAATGCTAACAATATTGATGAACAGTACGTGTGAACAGTACCTCCCTGATGAACAAGACACACAGGCAGTAATTGTAATGTCTGGCTGGCAAGGGAAAGTTACACCTCTATTGATTTCATAGGCAGTGGATGATGGTGGACAACAACGCTAATGTTGCAATGGAATCAGAACTCTCAAGATCAAGAGCTCTAATACTATGTTGAAACTTGAATAAAGAAGCTGCATATTAATTGTATCTTTTTTGCATTCACCACTAATCTCCCTTTTATAACATAAATGGTTTCTTATAAAAGGAAATAAAAATAATAAGGAAATGAGGAAACAAATAATTAAAGATATTGAGATATTTTTGACCTCCTAAATATCTATATTTTCAACAACACTTCATCATCTTTTATTTCCTCCCACTTTGTCACTAAAATACAACTTTGTCATACTCCAGTGTAAATTGATGATTGACCTTCTATTTATCTGGTGCTGCATCAAACTATGGTAGGGAGGATCAGTAATTTATCAAATCACTGCTTAAGCACACAATGATCATTTTTTGGGTGTACTTCTCTCTCTGAGTTCCTCTAATTGTCTTGCTTTTCTAATTAAGTATTTCTGTTGTCCTAATAATTTTTTGTTTGTACCAAGATTTTATATCTTTGGACTTTACTAAATTTATGTATGCTGCCATAGATCTAATGCGTCACATGTCTTTTAAATTGTCAGCAATGCTTGGTATCAATAATTTTTTTTTTATATATATATTAATCAGTTCTCACACTGAGACTCAAAATCATTTCAGGGTGACTTAGGATATCTCTACCTCGATCTGTACTCTAGAAAGGGAAAGTATCCTGGCTGTGCTCACTTTGCAATTAAAGGGGGTCGCAGGATTTCTCAATCAGAATACCAACTTCCAGTATGTGAAAATTTCTATTCCCAATTCCTTAATCTGATTGAAGCATACTAGAAATATAGTATTCTCTTTCTGTCTCCCAAATGCAGTGCCTTTTATGTGAAAGTTATTTTATTTTATTAATTTCATAAGGTGCTATATTAGTGATAAAATAGAAGAGAACATCCTCCGGTGGAAAAAACTGAAAAACAAGATGGTTTTAGAAAGGAAAATGGTGGGGATGTGGGACAATTGAATCATTATTTCACTAATTAATTGGAATAGTTCATCGCATGACACTTTCATACCCTGATATTTATACCACCTGAAGACAAGTATCCTTTACTTGGGATGCACTATAAGTTAACTAATTTTGTAGCCCATATGACTTTACCGAATACTATATTATATTCTTTAATGCTCCCTGTCATGTTGAAAGCTTACTGGGTATGCAGCTTGTTACAAATATTAAACCTGTCAATAAAACACAGAAAACACTGAAAAAAAAATAAAAAATCAACAAAGAACATAGGCAATTTGCTCTTTTCCTGAATAACAAAACAGTAAATAATCTCCTGGATATGACATCATTAGGAAGTCTTTGACCTTCTTAGTGTCAATCACAACCTTCTGTTTCTTTTCATCTCATACTTCTAATTTTACAAATGCCCTAGTCTTCAAACCACAGGTCCTTGAGGGGCACGATAAACCATATCTTCCCAAGAGTTGGCAATATCACAGCTCGCATGAACTAACTGTGCTCTGAACAATCTCCAAGGACATTATCTCTGACTGCATTTCTAAAACTACCTTCAAGTTATTAAACTAGTTTAATCAACTTAAAAAAATCAATTATCAATCATTCTTCTACAGCACAATTTCTTATAAAACATGAGGAATGGGTTTTGAAGGCATAAATACCTGGAAAAATGTCATGTTGTATTAATTTCATTGCATTCTGCGCTTCAAATGAAAATTTGACCTTATACAAATTTTGATTTTCAGGACTTGTACAAGAAATCTTTGCTTTATGCCTATTAGAAGAATGAGTAAGAAACTGGAAGCATGACTTATAAAAGAACACTCTAAAATACTAATGGTCCAAATTCCCCTGTCTTGATTGGAAGCAAAACATGAAGAATGAAGCTAAATCATAATAGACTGAATCTTATTACTCTTATCGTTCAGGTTCCTTTTGGAATGGAAGTTAAAGGAATGTTACTATTTAGCTATGTTTTTGGCATATGTTGGAAATGATCACAGTAGTTATTATTACTTTGGAAGCTAATAGTAAATCGGCAGGATTGAATAAGTTTGTAACTGCTATGATTTGGCAACAGCAGTTTGTTCGTATGACATCTGCATTGTCAACTAATTTGCTTGAGATGTAACTAAAAGGGGAAGAGGTTATAAGTTGGAGAATGGAAAATGGATTTGGGAGGGAGAACCCAGGTCTATCAAGCACCTAGCAAGTCTGTATTCACTTTTTCTTTCCTTGTCTCTGTTCTTGTATCCCTTACATACAGGTTATGAGACAGATGTTCCTATCAAAAACATTCCTCTTCTTCCCATATTCTGATCCCATGCTATCAAAAACAATAGGAGTTTATGTTGGAAACATTTGGATATAGGAAATAGCTCAATTCTTTATAATTCTTGTGATTATTTGTTTAACCCATTATGAATATATCAGTATGCTAGGTGCAAAAACTGATGAAATTCATGGGAATCTCTTCATAAGTTTATTCAGTTTTCTTCTCAAGTGTATATTTGTAGAAATAATGGTGAAATCAAACACTAAGAGCATGTTTGCAAAATAAGTTGTATGTTTGGGAAAACATTGAAATTTGTAGAAGCCTTTTTTTTTTTTTAATTTATTTAAATAAGTTGTTTTCATGCATCTGAAAATTTTAAACTTATGTTTATTTTTCAACTTCTTTTTCTCCTAAAGTTGATATATTATGTAAAAATTGATTTTGTTGTTGTAACCAAACTAAACTAAATATCTTAAAATTATTTTTCAGCAAACTTAGTCAAGCAAAACTTGATTCTAACAATAATTGATTATATGTATAATCATTAATCAACTATTGAAATAATCTAATTCTCATAGCTATCATAAACACACTAACAAGATTATAACAATAATTGATTAGAAATGTCATTCTTTGTTGGCATCATATAGCACTTTTCGTGTGGGGGTAAATGATAGCATCTTGGCTCACTTAATGTTTATTTTTGAATTTCTTTAAAAAGCTACTTGTTCTTTTATCTCATGACTTTGCCCCTTGGTTTTTGTTGAGTGTACTTTTGTTTGGATAACTGTCTGTAAGAAATAGGAACGAACTGTAGGTTTTCTTAGACGTGTTATTGTTTGATATTATTTTTTTCCAAAATAAAAAAATTCCTTTTTTAATAAATATCAATGCAAAATGCTCATGGAAGCACTTTTTTCTGACTAAATCACTAGTATTTAACATAGGGGAGGTAGACCGCTTATTCTTCTGATTCATTCTTGATTTTGATACTTTTGCAGATTGTTGCTCTTGTTTGTAACTTTTCGGGTTCTCGGAATCCATCAGCTGTAAGGCTTAGTCATTCAGAAGTAGAAACTCTATTTCATGAGTTTGGACATGCTCTTCATTCACTGCTTTCAAGAACGGTATTCTCTTGATCTTTACATGAGGAAATATGTTTCTTTACTAAATGAGGACAAATCTATATGACATGGTAGAATCGATGATATACATTTGTAGAATTTGGGTTCATGATGCAAATTAAGTGATTATAATATAAATAAATGGTCAGTTTTTAAAGTTAACTACTTTTACTTTTCAAATATCTCTTCAATAACTTTTATAGACTTATTGTCCGTGTGGGATGATCTTAGCTCCCTTAAGAATGTGATCCCAGGTTCATCTGTGGGATTCTTATGAATGGAAAAATAATTGTTGGATACTTGGATAGTTTATCTTACCTCCGGCTCTTGACTATATCCCATGAAATTAGATTATCGACTGGGTGGGAGATTACTTGGGGAAAACCAAAATAGGAAAAAGAAATTCTCTACAACTGTCTTGAGCAAGTTTACATAGGGAAACTACTTCCACTGGTTAAAGGTCTCAGTCAAATATGCTTTTCAAGGTTTAGGGTTTGGGGTACAGGGTTTATTAATATGATATATTTAGATTATGAGTATTTCTTTGACGACATGCTGTATTTGCTTAAAGAATATATTAAACGTGTATTAGTAATAATATTATTGCTAGAGAGAAATTATCTCAGCTCATTTATTTATATATTTAAATGTTATAGAATCAAATCCCTCAATTATAGTTATCACCAAAAATATGGTGATTCATCATTTGTTTACATCACATATTTCCTATGTAGTTATGAGTATGAATGTCTACAATATACGAGGAATATCAACAATCTTATTGTGTGAATAAGAGATAATAATATAGGATATACCCTTGTCCTAGTTTATTTTTATCAGCAAAGAGATTACTTAGATTAAGCAATAAGCAGTATAAGGGTACCAAACCCATGTACAAAATATGATACATTCATCTTTAGTTCACTACCCTCCGAAGTTTATGACATTTATGTTTATTGTGATAAATATTTAATAACCATTCATTACAAAATGAACCCGTGACAGTATACTTTGTAAAAAATTCCACCTTTTAACAAGAGTATACGGCCTCCCTGTTTTCTTCAGCTTGTGACCCACTTTCTCCGACATTAAAAGCCACCCATGCATAAAACACGTGTTTTTCCTCATTGCTCTTGAAGTTGCAAGTTACAGAAGCATGCACAAGGATTAATATTCCACTATATAGCTGAATATGAGAACCCCCCTGATATTTCTTTTAGCCATCGCCAGGATGTATTCATGAATTTTCTCCACAGTTCCTCTTTATCAAAACCAGCCTTATTGAAAAGGCAATTATTTCTAGTATTCCAAACAGACCATGTTAAAGCACACGAAATAATTTGTATCTAGAAATAGCATCTTTGTTTATGAAGCATGATGGATATTGTAAAAAGAATTCCGTCAGAGTTGGGGAACCACTTGAAGCAGGCTAACCGCATAGAATGCACCACTTTGCATGAAATGAATAAATGCTATGCTGTTTCTTCAGCCATATGGCATAAAATACAGCTATTTACGTTGCGATCTAATTGTATCTTTCTCTAGACAAGGTTATCCCTCATGGGAAACCTGTCTAAGTAAACCTTCCAAATGAATGAATAATGTCATTTCTTTTGCTCTTCATTCATGAGTTGGCATATTGGACTCATTGAAGCATAACCCACAGAATAACAATTTCTAGGTAACATGTGCGATCTACAGATGTCAAATATCTTTCTCATCAAATATTATGGAGTTACATATGAACATGATTTGAGAAAATTGAGTTAAATTTTAATAACATTTTTTTAATGAGTTTCGAAATCGTAATAATATGAATTGTCTTACCATGTTACTTAATGAAAGAAAATTCCTTTAGAAGCATTTCTTGATAATAGAAACCTTTGGATAAAGGTTTACTGATGATGTCATTTTTTCATGTTATTCTGTCATGTCTCATTGTAGGACTACCAGCATTTTTCAGGCACCAGAGCTGTTCTTGATTTTGCAGAAATACCATCCAACCTCTTTGAGTGAGTAGAGTGCTGCAAGAACTATTAAGTCTTGACCCTTAAATCAGGGTGGTAATTAAAATATAAAAGATTTGGTTGAATTGTTTAAATGGATGAACCTGCTGTGCCACTGCCTAATTTTCTGTAACATGTAATTTTTTTTTGCAGAATTAGCTAATATAAACCCGGTTATGCAATATTGTATTACCTTAGCCTCTTATTTTTTTTAATGAATCCGTGATTTAATCCTTTACATCTAACATCATCTTCACGTGTGACCCTGAAATTTCAATTTTCTCAGTTTAACCCTGACATCTGTACCAGAATCAGATGAAAACAGTGTCTTACACAAGGGATCATGTGGCGCTGGGGTAGTGCTGAATAATTTTCCTTTTTCACTGAAAAATGTTAACTCTTAGTCCCAACCCTGATATTTAGATTTCACTACAATTTGATTTGTAGCTAAATCGAACACTTAAATTTTAAGTTGTTTTATAACTAATACAACCTAATTTACCTTCTTAAAAATGTCAATGTGATGTGAATTCTTTCCCCTAATGTGTGTTGAGCATTATTCTGTTATTATTTTATAATTTTTTTTAGGAATTATTTGTTACACCTCGACATTAAATGAGATCTTGACAGTTATATTTATATAGAGACTTAACAAAGCATTTTTTTTTTCAATGACCAAATTGTGAGTGAACTCAAATTTCAGGGACCAAGTTGTTTTTGTTCTCTTCTGTTGTCTGAAATGGCCTTGTTGGCATATGGCATTTAATAGATGGACTAAATGGAAACCATTGGCATTTAATATGATTAAGTTATACTAAAATATTATCATTCAATGGTTTAAAACAGGAAGATTTTCTTCTGAATAAATTCAGTTAACTCATTGCTGATGTTGTGATATTGACCTGCTGGAGTGTGATTGACTAGGTTTTACGTTTTATGGCAGATACTATGCATGGGATCATCGAGTTTTGAAAAAATTTGCTAGACACTATTCAACTGGAGAAGAAATCCCTCCGAAGTTGGTTGAGTCAATGAAGGGTGCCAGAGATATGTTTGCTGCAACTGAACTGCAACGTCAGGTTTTATTTTTTCTCTTTTCTTTTCCTTTTTTTAATGCCTGATTGGTACATAAATTTTTCTGTTTATGAAGGAGATAGTTTAACACTTTAATTATCATTTTTTTAGATCTTCTATGCTATTGTCGACCAAACACTTTTTGGAGAGCAGCCACTCCCTCACAGTGATATTAGTTCTGTTGTTGCAGAACTGAAAAGAGAGCACACCAATTTTGAACATGTGGAAGGCACACATTGGGAGACCCGATTTAGTCATCTACTTAATTATGGTGCAGGTGTGTCTGAAGTCCGAACTATACTTTAATTCCTTGGATCAATGATGTTGAGAATTGAAATCTCAATAAATTCATGTTTGTTTATATGAAAAAACGCTAGCCTTACGAGAATGACAACTAATTAGATTTGAATTAGCAGGTACTTGATTTCCTTTAGATAAACTGCACTCCTGTGTTGTGCTTCAACAAGGCTGCATATTTTGAATTTTAACTTAAAATAAGGAACACCTTACTCCGTTTTAAATAATCCAATCGAAAACTAATAATGCCAGAAGTTTTGTACACAATTGTTGTTGTTAATTGTTATACTTATCATATCGTTGCCACCAAAACATGTTTGACTGTAGCTTGAATTTCATCATTTATTGAAAATTTGAAGTTTAGGTGTATACTTGGTATACTTGATTCCTTTATTGTGCAGGTTATTATAGCTATTTGTATGCCAAGTGTTTTGCTGCAACCATATGGAAGAGGCTGTGCCAGGAGGATCCACTTTCACCAGATACAGGATTTGCTCTAAGAAAAAAATTCTTACAGCATGGAGGAGCCAGAGAACCAACTACTTTGTTAAGTGATCTAGCAGGAGACGGGATATATAGGTATTATGATGGAGGGATAATGCCTGATATTTCAAGTCTTTGTGATGAAATGAAACTGGTTGAAGAATATCAGCAGAAGGTTCATTTGTTGTGATTTTTAAAGATACAGGACTTGACGCAAACAGCACCCACCATATTGTGCACGTGGGCACATAGCAAATAGTACACCATTCAAACTATGCTGATAAATTTTGTTAGAATTTGTTTAGGTTCTCTATCTGTCTCTCTTTACACGACCCTGTCCCTATCATACGAAATACTTAGAGGATCCATTTTTGGTGCAAGGCACAATTTCACGTGTCATTTACACATGCACTCACATTCAAAGAAATGAAATGAAAGAACATATCTACACAGTACTGTCTAAAACACGCTGGACTGTATGCTTGTAGATATCTTAAAGAATCAAGGTTAATTTGTAGCTTCATCAATCATCAATTCATAAATTCGTTGAGCGAGAATAAATCATAAAAAAGAGAATATCAAAATATGAATGTAAATAATAAACATAAACATAGAAACAGAGCACGATAAGACAGAAATGAGAATAATAATCAATCCCATTCTACCTCATTTTATTGATAATGAGACGTATATATACAGAGAGAATGAGAAGAGAAAGAGGTTAAAAAAAGGGGATGATGGATGAAAAATAGAAAAACAGAAAAGATATATAAAGATTCTAAAAGAAAGACATGGTAATAACAGAAAGAATAAATGGTGCAACAAGTACGTGGAAAGTATAAAAGAAGTTGTAGTTGCAGGGAAGAACAATGATCAAGTTGAGAGTAAAAGAGTATGTTGCCTTAATTTAGGCCTAGCCATATTAAGCCACTGGCTTCTTTTTTTATTTATTTTTTATTCGTTGAGATAGGTTTTGTTTGGATAATTTTTTTTACAAGATTTACAATATAGTAAAATAAAAAGGAAAAATGACATAATTTTTTTTAAATAGATAAAATTAGTTTATGTATATGTTAATTTCTAAAAAAAATATATTAGTTTCTTTGAAAGTTAATGTTGATTTACATATAAGTTAGATTTTGGAAGATGTTCATTTAGTTTTCCATTTATTTATAGAAAAATATTTATCTAAACGTTGCTTAGATTCTCATGACATTATCAAAATTTGTTCTCAAAGCAAAGTCTTTTTTAAGAACTAATCATGGGTGATGGGTTAAAATCATGAGTATTTTTTTTTTTAATTTTTTGGTACCATGATTTTGGTGAGAATATTCTCTAACTTTGATAGGAATTAATCTTCTTCAAAATCTTGATTTCATTAAAGTTATTTTCTAGTGTCGTTTTTTTCTTGAGTTTGAAAAAAAAAATGACTCTAAGAAGAATAGTCTTAATGTAGTGAAGATTCAAAGGGAGATTAATCTTTGGACAAGTAAGAAAAAACTTTTGTTAATATCATTGTAAAAAAAGTACTCTCAAAATTATTAAGTACCATTTCTTCTCTTTCCCT